GTAGAAAGAAAAGAGAATTTTTTGTTTTTTTGGTATGAATTGTTGCCTTTTTTAGTTAATTTATTAATTTCTTGATTTTTTGACTAAAAAGTAAGGTTTCAAACGAGGCCTAATGGAAGGATAAAAACTTTTTTTTCAAAAGTTCTTTATCTACATCTCTTACGATGAGATCTAAAAATGACATTTGCGTGTGGCATTCTGGAGAAATTAGAAATATTGGAACTTCATTATCCATTTATAACATTTTAATACTATAACAATTATGAAAAACAAATTGAAAAAGAAATAAATCATCCACATGAATAGTTCCTCCCCTCCCCTCCCCTCCCCCAAAAGAAAAGAAAAGAAAAGAATAGCTTGATTAGCATCTATAATGCAAAATGGATTTTGCAAGATGAACGAATTGTTAAATGCTTTCGAGTTGGTTGTTAGATGGTTGGAGAGAACTTCGATGACTAAATTAAAGAAAAATGTTTGGAACTGTCTTTGGGAATGACCCCCATACTTTCAAAGTGATTCTGGTTCTCTATATATGTGTGGAATCTACTTATGTATGTGTGAAATTCACACCATGAGTAATCCAGATTTGTGGGGTCTCAATCATTGCTCATAATTAAATAAGAAGAGTCAATTCATAGCAGAAAGTGTTAATACATTTGTGTTGGTTGTTAAATGGTTGGAAAGAACTTTGATTTCATTTGACAATGACTTTTTTAATTGATTTTTTGACTTTTTTAATCTGAAACTTTTTTGTTTATTTGGTTTTCTTGTTTTGCTTTTTTAACTTTTTTGCATTGAAAATGATATTCCCAAAGTGAAATGACAAAATTGCCCACCACTTGGAAATGATGTTTTTTCGACTTTTTGTTTGTATATGGATCAATTTGGTAATTTTGCATCACAACTCAAGTGTTTTGGTATTTTATGATTTTATAACTTTTTTTTGCCCATATATGATTATTTAGCCCCACAACAAATGTTAAACCGGGGCTAAATTTGGTTAGTTTATCTAGTTGCCTCATAAATCCTTCAGGAAGTGATTTTTTTTGTTAAAATATAAAATTAAAAAAAAAATTATTGGAGAATAATAATTTTTTTGACATCTTACCAAAAATGTACCCAAAAAAAAAAAATAAAGAAAAATAAAAATAAATCTTTAATTTTTTTTATGGCTCTACTTTTGACTTCTTAATTTTTTCAATAATTTTTTTAACTAAATTAACTTATTGCAAAACAACCCTTAAGTGGTTGGATAACTTACTTGGGAGTGTATGAGAGGAGCTAAATAGTTAATCCCACACTAAATTAGTCAATAAAATAATAAAAAACTTATTAATTAGTTTTATTAATTAGAATTATTTACTTTTAAGTCCCCATTGATAAATTTATTACTGTAAATTTATTCATAAAAACAAAAAAAAACCAATAAATATGACTTAATAAATAATAATTCCAAAAGTAAGACCTATTAACAATGTATTCCAAAAAAAACACAAATCATCACTCTATAATTTTTTTTGGTATATATTTTTATAAAAGAATTTAATTTTCTCAAAATATTATGTAATACTGTATGTGATACTTTCTATCACAAATCACAACACACATTGATATAATGTGGTTCTAAAAAATTATTAAATAATTGTCCATTAGTTCAGTCAAAACACAAAAAGAGATCATGACTTGGTTCTTCACTAAGGCTGGGCGTAGAGTTATCTGATCTGCCCAAACCATCCTACTCGATTCGAACCGCACGTATGTGAGTGGTTTCACAAACACATTAGGATAGGGAGCGGTTTGGATTTTATATAAATTTTGGGTTGCGGGTTTGAACCGCACCCGCCCAATCCGCCCGCATTAATACATTTTTTTTCCCCCCATCTTTCAAATCGAACCGTTCATCTCACCATCTTACGCACCTCATCTATAACAAACAAAACAAAAAAAAACCCTAATGATCTATCTAACTCTCTAACTCAAAAACACGAATCTGTCTCCCTTATTCTCTCATCTCATCTCATCTCATCACTGTCTCTCTCACTCTCGTTGTTCATCTTCTGCACCGATCGTCTCACTCTCTCTTCGCACCGATCGACTTACTCTCTCATCGCACCGATCGACTTACTCTCTCATCGCACTGATCGACTCACAGGTAAGCCTCTCTCTCTCTCTCTCTCAGTCTCAGTCTCAGTCTCTCTCGCCTCAATATTTGATTTTTTTTACAACATATATATATATATATATCAGATATCTCTTTGATCTGTCTCCCTCACTCTCTCATCTCATCAGTCTTACTCTCTGGTTTTGCATCTGCACCGATCGACTCACAGGTAAGCCTCTTTCTGTCTCTCTCTCTGTCTCTCCCTGATCTCTCATCTCATTAGTCTCACTCTCTGGTCTCGGTCTCTGTTTATTTTATGCAATCTCATCTGTTGTTGAATCTGTGAGAAGAGGAAAGAAATTGAATCTGTGTGTTTCTTGGTAATCTGTTATGTTATTGAAATTGAATTTGTAATTTTTGTAATCCAGTTTAAATGGAGGATAGTGTTCAATCTCTCGCAATCAATCTTATACCTCCAGAATCCTCTAATTCTCAAACGAATCCTTTTTTTTTTTTTTTTTTGTATTTGGGTTAGGAATGATGAATGTAGAATTTTCAATGAAGGATTTTTTTTATTTGGGTTATGAATGATGAATGTAGTATGAATGCAAGTTAATGATGAATGTAGCTTTTAAATGATTTGTTTAGGTTACGAATTGAATTTGTTGTGTTTTTTTTTTATAAGTTTTAATTCATTAATTATTAATGTTGGAGCATTTTAGAAAATATGAGAAAAAATGTCCAAAATAAAGATTGACAAAATGAGAGGAAAAAAAAAAGGTTTAAAAATAAACTTTAAAAAAAAAAATTCAATCCGAAAACCGCCCGCAACCGCCCCTATATCCGCGAACCCTATCTGCACAAACCGCAAACCGCATTGAGGGCGGTTGCGGGTTGACTTTTTCCCAAACTGCATAGATGCGGGTGGGTCCAAACCGAACTACAAACAGTCCCAAACCGAACCGCAGACACCCCTATTCTTCACTTAATGGTGTGACCAATAAACTTCTGCCACGTACGTCTTTTTTTTTAACTGATTTAAGCAGGCAAAAGAATTGAAAAAATGATTGAGAGCACTAAAAGTGATGCTCTAATAACACTACGAATGATGTAGTAGTGGGTTATGCCATGTTTTTTTTTTTTGGCATTCCTAATGCATTAGTACTATTAGTGGTCTTTTTTTTAGTGGTATGAATCATTGTTGAAAGAATTGAGAAGTTAACTGATTTAAGCCAACCAAATCCAGTACAACCAAATAATTCAAAGATAATATAATCTAGGATTAACAGTTCGATAAATTCCAATATCTCTTTATTCAGTCCGCCTAAACAAATACACCCTTAGGGTGTGAATACATCGGACTTGAATCATGAGACTATGAATCCCCTTGACTATTTGGTTGGATTGAATATGTATCATGTGTTTGTTTTCTCACGAGATTAGATATTTAAAAATGAATATTTTCAGTGAATCCAATGTTTGGTTGGATTAACTGAATATGATAAATGAACAAAAGACTATTTTACAATTTTTTAATAGTTTATTAAGTAATAGCAATATTAAACATATCTTTAATATTTTAATTAATTTTAGCTAGATTAAATAAAAATTTATTTTATTTTATTTTTTACACAATTAAATAAATTTATTTTTTTAAAATAAAATAAATAAATATCAATAAAAATATATATTATTTTTTTAATTAAAATTTTAAATAAATTTGTTTTTAAAAATAATAATAATTAAACAATGAAATTAAATAAAACATCTACTAAAATTTAAATAAAATATAAAAAAATTTAAAATAAAACATCAATAAAATATCTATAAAAAATTATTTTTAAAAAAATTAAATAAATATAACATCAATAAAAATTTAAATAAAATTATTTTATTTTTAAATTGAAACATTTAAATTTTATTAAATTTTATTAAATATAATAAATAATTAAATAGTAGAGGATCAAAATTATCATTTTACCACCTAATCCCAACAATAAATAGCCCCTCCAAAATTGTCCCACACCCCCCAAGATAATATAATCCCCCATATGGAGGATAAGGAGTCCAGCCAGACTAAAAAAAAAACAAACGATAGACTACTTACTCCTTCGGATAAACAATCTAAATAATGAATAATCCCCCAATCAAACACACCCTATCCACACGGACTGTGATTGGTAAAAAAAAATAAAATTATAATTTTACCAGATACCAGACTTGGGATGCTATTATGAGCAAATTATAGCAGGCTTCAGTAGTGCTCCGGTAAAAGTTTTTGTTAAGGTCTTGTTTGGAGGGTAACTATTTTAGTCAAAAAGTCACTATAAATCACATTACCCTCTTTATTTTTCTGCACATCTTTTCATAAATAACCAAAAAATTACTAAAATATCCTGTTCCCAAACGAGGAGTCTTTTTTTTTTTTTTAATAATTTGAACTATATATATTGTAAAATTTATTGTGTATATTATTTATGTAAAAAAATAAATTAATAAAAAATTTATAACCCCATGATCAAATACTAATTATTTTAAAAAAAATTATAAAGACAAAGTTAATCATTTATTTTGTAAAAAATAAATGTACTCTTATTACAGAGTTATAAATATCCAATTAATTTAATTTTCAACCTAAATAATTTAATCAAGTAATCCGTTCAAATTATATATAAATTAAAAAAATTTTTAAAAAAAAAAACTCTGGAAAGACCTCGAGCACCACAGAAAGCTGCTCACAGCAGCATCCCCCAATTTCACTCCGTGACCACGTGACAGGTTCAGGGATGAATCGACGACACCACCTCACTATCTCAACAGACAAGACAAGATAAGATATGGCATTCATGCTAATCCCGCTTTTTGGGAATTTGATTGAAGTTGGAGATGACTGACCTGATTACACGAACTTCATCATAGCTTCTTTTTATTTTTTGTTTTTTGTTTTTTTCTGCCAAGAATATAAGCTCTATATTTTTAGGATGAATTGGAATCGTTACAAAAAAATCTTAGAAGAAAAATTACTACAAAACAAACATTGGTCCTTAACGTGAAGCAGTTCCGTCACTACTGTTCCATGGTGTATCATTTTCCCAAGAAGAAGTGCATATTAGATTAATGACAAACTACCCTACAATCTCAAATTTGAATCCTCAAGTTTTGAAGTAAGGATCTACTTACATCCCTAAGCTCACCAAAATTGAAGGGTAGTTCATGGGCAAACGCGCTTAGAAACCAAAGAAACCAAGCTCACTGGCCCTCTCCTTCTCGAATGTCTCAAAGTACTGATATATGATGGTGACTGCAAGCAGAATCCCCGTCCCAGAACCAATTGCTCCCATGAAATCGGCCAAAACTGTCAGTGCACCAATACACATGCCCCCGAAAGCTGCTGCCGTGGGTATGTAGTTCTGTAAATTTGATTCACGATGGCCAGGCATCACCATTTGTTGTTCCTGAGAATAAGCAGTGTTCGTAAGTAAATAATTTAACTAAACTTTTTAGGTGATCATATCGAGTAACATATAGTCGAAGATTACCACACCCGAATTTGTGAAAACAGTTTGAATAAGATATAAATTCATAATGATTTCTGCGATTACTCCAATTAGATAAACCCGAAAACATTAATCACATATAAGCCATACCTTGAGCTGCTTAGCCACGTCCTTAGCAGATGATCCAGACACTTCAATCCAAGTTTTTGAGAACAGAGCGCATGCCGACAACATAAACACAAGATAAAATAGTGCGTGGAAAGGATTGGCTGCCATGTCTGCCAAGCTGCAAATCAGTGATTAGCATTAGTAGTAGGTAACATGAACTAATGTAACTAATAATTACATTGACATATAAGCAAGCTATCATATAGCAACAGATAACAGAGAGAGAGAGAGAGAGAGATTCTGTATCGACCTTGATGGAGCAGTTATATAATATGCAATGCCACCAACAGGGATCGATTGACCAGAATATTCAGATTCCTTCCACTTGCCCAACAGGTTTACGAGGAAATTTCCACTGTACTTCCTGTGAAGCAACTGCAGAGAGAATTAAAGTCAGATCACATCAGAATCTACTTCTTAGAAAGATATTAATTGTTCTATGTGCCGAGGGGTGGATTTAAAGCTTTGTACTTAAAGAAATTATCCTATATTTGCACTACAAGGTGGGTTTGAACAGAACAAAAATGAATCTTTTGCATACACCAGCAAAAAAGTTCCATTACCTGGGAAATGAAGTAAAGATTGGTGACAAGGGCAGACTGTAGTATGATGGGCATATTGGAGGTGTAGAACAGTTTGATTGGATATGAACCCTGTTGTCCACGGGCATTCTTTGACCTCACAGGCAAGACCACGCGGAAACCTTGGAAGTAGATAACAATAAGGAAGATCAAGACGGTGGCAAGCAAGTTTGTTACGTTTGGAAGGTTCTGCCGATAGAATGCCTCACGGAGTGCACGAACCTTGTCTGTTCGAGTTATCAGCAAATGGAACAAAGCAATAACGGCACCTTCAAATTCAGCTCCACGCCCACTATTTATTGTGGTGGGACTAAATGCTTTCCAAATAATGTTCTCACTACAAGAGAAATCACAAAAGTCTTCAGCAAAACAATTATAAATTATAAATGTTCCAAACTGAAATTCCTAGTATAATAAATAAATAAGGAAGGTAGCTCACCAGATGTTGGTTGCTATGAAAAGGGATATTCCCGAGCCCAGACCATATCCTTTCTGGAGAAGTTCATCCAAACATATCACAATGATACCAGCAAAGCATAGCTGAACGATAATAAGAATGGCATTTCCAACTCCAAGTTGGCCAACACTTCCATACATCCCTGAGAGAACATATGCAACTGCCTCACCAACAGCTATCAGAATGCCCAACAACTTCTGTGCACCATTTCTGAGAGAGAAAAGGAATCATCATAAAATTATAACAGGGAATGCTATCCTGTTATAACAGGAATGACTAACTCATGTTCGTGGAAAAATTATAACAGGAATTAGTCATATCTGATCATAAAGCTAAAGACAGATGAGAATCATAAAATACTTACAAGAGGGCACGATCCTCGCGTACATTGTTGTCCACCTCAATGATCTTGGATCCAGCCAACAGTTGCATCACTAGTCCAGATGTCACAATGGGAGTGATCCCAAGCTCCATGACAGTCCCACGGCTTGAGGCAAGAATAACACGCATCCAATAGAATGGATCTGCACCAGTTGTAGAGTGTATGCCATACAAAGGGAGTTGACTGCACACCAGGAAAATGAAAAGAGAGATCACAGTGTATATAACCTTCTCTCTAAATGGAATCTTCCTGTCGGCACTCTGTACTTCAGGTAGAAATGAAAGGAATGGTCGGACAAGATGAAGCACCCTAAACCCACCTCCCATCTTGTTTTGTACGAACCAAACCAATCCAACCTGCATCAAGAATTCATAGTAACACTAGGTATCAACAACTAAGTACATCCCATGAACAATTGCATCAATTGATGGAACCCAATTCTTCAAATGTTTTTAAAAAGCTTTTGATAAGGGAATAGTGTGAAATATTAATTTTTCTTTTAAATTTTGATGAGTAAAAAAATCAATCTTTTAATACTTTTTATAACCAGATAAAGTTCAAACCACGAATCTCAATACTTAACAATTGTGACTGAATCCACAAAACCCAGCAAATAATATAATCAATGTTACATTAAAGAAACAAATCCTCAGAATGGCTATGATTAAAGAAGAAAACACCTACATCAACACAAAGTAATAGCCATGTACACCAGTGCGCTTATGCACTAAAAGATTAAGTCACATTGAATTATAAAGAAAACATAAATACAAAGGGTGTCATCAATCAGAACCCATTCCATCAGAACCCATTCCAATGGCACGAGAAAAAAAAAATTTCTTTGTGTTTTAAGGTTTTGATCCCCTTATCCAAATATATAATCATTAACCTTTCCAATTAGTAATTAGTAGTGGTTTCTGTCTTAATAGTCAACAATCACAGAGGGCAATGTCACTTATAATAGGAGGAAAAAAACAAAAAAAAAAAAAACTTATAACAAGGAAGTAATAGTGAAATGGTAGGCTTGTTTCCTCTAAAAAAAACCCTCCAGAAAATGAAACAAAAAATACAACATATACCTATATAACAGTCTATGGTTCAAATAGGTAAAAGGAAAAAAAAAATAATAATTTAAGCAACATCATGAAAACTTAGGTAGTGTTTGGTTGATTGGAAGAAGTGAAATAGAGCAGTCATTCCATGAAAGTAACTATTCCCAAGTTTGGTTGATTAACAAAACAATGAAAAATACATTGCAAATCGAATCATCATTCACCACTGTAAGAGAATGATTATTCCCCAGGTGAGTCCAAGGAATGACCATTCCATTCCATCTCATTTCAATGAACCAAATGGAGCATTAATTCCAGCTCTTTGGGGTCGTGTTTTTTCATTTCAAATTCTGACTGATAAAGGCTGACATCATATCAGGACGAGCTTAAGCTTGAACAATCTTAGTTAGTTTGCAACAAATTCATGGGCAGGATTCCAGATGGCCCTAACTATTGTTGAAAGACATCATGTAGATACTGAATAAATCGAAAACATGATGAAATACATGCACAAACAAACATACACCTCCAACAAAAACGGAGAATTCAGATTTAAGACCGCAGCTTCACATAAACATATCTACGATTCAATGGATATCGTTGAATAGAAACCTAAATTCAAAATTCCGTTTCAAGGAGACGCAAATAGTGATTTGAATTTTCCATTTTCAGATTCTCAAATCAAATAATCATACACTTCAATCAGATTGTACAAAAACGTGAATTGATCAAATACAAAAACATTAAGACCATAATCATCAACAATTAAATACGCATCTATGTACAAAACAGATTGCAGAATTACAGATCTGTAAAAATTATCGAATCAAACGAGAACTAGGAAGAGAGCAATCAGATGCTAACCCTTGGAGTTTGAAGATTGATTCTTCTGATGCTTGTGAATTTGCGAAACGGGGTTCAGAGACTTCGATCTGAGAGCTACGAAGATATGATTGGCATTAAAAAAAAAGGGATCTCGATGGTATTACTTGTCACGCGCTAACAAAAATTGCCGTCAAATTTGACCAAAATTTTTGATTCTTTGAATGGTCCGCTTGGATCAGGTTATTATTATATTACTACGGACTCTCTCCCCGGTTGGGACCAAGTCCACTGGTGCTGTTGGGTTTTGTGGACCCAATCATAGGTCTGTCTTCATTTATTCCAAGGAAAATGCTCGAGAGTTCTAAATTTAGAGTTTTAATTTGAGCTTTAGTGATGTGTTAAAGTAAAAAAAAAAACAAAACAAGGCACAAACATCATATCAGGGTGGGTCCCACCTTCCCATTAGAGCTATTAGAGCTCTAAAGCATTTTTGTTATTCAAATTTGGATTGGGCTCATTTAAATTTGAGTAAATTTGAGAGGCGTGTGATCCATCGTAAATCTTATTTTAATAATTTATATTATTTATTTTATAATTTTTTTATTTGTCATTTTTAAGCAAAATTTTACTTGTAAGGAGTAGTGTTAAGATAATATACTTTTATATTAGTAATTGATGAATTGTTCAATCTATCAATTATTTTCTCTTTATTTTTTATTATCCTTTACCTTGAATGTTTCTCTTTGAGATTGGTTATTGCTTAACATGTAATATTTTAAGTCTTGTTCATTTAAATAAAAGAAATTTTAACATAATTGCTTGATAATTATTTGATTTAAAATTAATTTGTAAATTTAAATTTTTATTGGTACGTTCAAATTTATATTTCTAACATTCAGAGGCTATAAAAAAGAAAAACAAAAAAAACAAAAGAGCAACATAAATAAAAAATACTAAAAAAATATATTAGTGCATAAAATAATGTTATTTAAAACTGAAAAAATACATAAAATTTATGTACCAAATAATATGAATGACTTGGAGTCTTTCAATTTTAAACAAACATGCACAAATATACTTAATTATAAAAATATTATTGTCACAACATTTTTATTATAATTTTATATAAATTACAGTCAAAATTAATGATGCGGTACTAATCCTACCAATATTAAAATAGTCAGTCCCAAAAAATTGGAACTTTGAAGAATGATGAGTTTAGTTATAAAAGCTTATTTTAGGAAGTAATTAAAAATTAATTTTTTGATTTTTTCTGACTTTTTTTATAAGAAAAAACCGTGCAAAAAAATAAAAATAAAAATAAAAAAATAATGGCCTTGTTTGGTTTGTGTTTTTCAAAAAATTTTGAAAAAAATTCTCTACAAATAAGTTTTCAAAAGTAATCAAACTAAACAAATTTTTCCCAAATTTTTTTCTAAAACTTGTTTGGTTTACAAGTTTTCCAAACAAATCTCTCTGTCATACACATCAAATCAATCACTTTTTTCAAAACTCTCTCTCAAAATAATTTTTCAAAACATCTTTTGAAAAAAAACTAAACCAAACAAATTTTCGTACTTTTTATCTCAAAACATATTTCTCAAATACAAACCAAACAATATGATTTAAAAATTTACAAAAAATCAATAAACTGACTTTTAATATTATTCCCAAAATAGGCCAAAACTATTGTGACTTTGCTTCTATACTTGAGTTTTAGAAGCAAAAGGACAAAAGTGTGATGGATCCCTTTCAATTATTGTCTTTGTCAGACCCTCTCCAACTGTTCATCAGAGATGATATCAAATTTAAATTTTGATGAAAAAGTCACTGTTCACAGCTCTAACGGTTGCACCAAATCAATATCAGATTGAGATTTCATCAAATAATCCATCAAATCGATGACAAGATACTGATTTCACCAAAACACTGTTAGTGACCGTTGGAGGGAGGACCTGGTTGACCAACCGGTCGACCGAATTCTTTTGAAATAGATAGGTTCAAACCGGTCAAAAAAGATTCAAACAGGCAAATAAATAAATAAATAAAATTTTGCCTTACCGGTTGACCGGCCGGTCGACCCACCGCCAAACTGTTTCAATTGATGCATCTATGAGAATGAAAGTTGCAACGGGTGGATGAATCAATGAAAATGAAAGGCAATTTCAATTGGTGGGTTTTCACGCCAAAGATATTGACAGCAACCAAACAATTGGTGAGTTTTCATCAATTGATATAATTGGTGGGTTTCCATCAATTCAAATAATTTCAAAAACATAGCGTTCCGGTTGATCCACGGGATTTGATACAGGATTTGATGCACACTGTTGGAGGTAGTGATATCAAATTTGATGAAATGAGTATTTTTTACTCAAATTTGGTGAAACAAAAAGTTTACCGTTGGAGATGCTCTCATGCAAATTATTAGGGGCACATATTAATTAATGTCATTTTCGAACCAAAACAATATAAGAACAATCATTTTCCCATAAAACAATAAGGCTAAAAAGTTAAAAACAAGATGATGTGTCTTGTTCAATGCTAAAAAGATTAATAATCAATAACATCTACAATTGATGAATCAACCCACATTGATAAATGCCTTTTTTTTCTTGTTTTTTTCAAATTTATAAAATTTTGGAAGAATTTTCTTTTTATTTTTACTAAGTTAACCATTTTTATTGAGTCACTCTCCATTTAACTGAATATTTTATAGTTTTGTTTTCAATTTCACAACCATTATAGATTATTCTATAATTTTTGAGAGAGTACATGATACTTAAGGAATTATCGTATCATATGTAAAATATATATTTGATATATTATTAAAAATAAATATTAATTTGCATTATTTGTTCTTACAAGTATTATGGAGGAGGAGCTCTGTTTACACTCAAATTTGGCAAGAGATTTTTTGGCTATTTTAATCACAAAAGACAAAATAAGTTATTTTAGTCATAACAAACAAAATATCACATTCAATCTGTAATCATTGCACTCTTTTCTCACAAAAAAAAGTAAAAAAAGCTAAAAAACCAAAAAGTCATTCTCAAACCAAACTTTTTAGTCCAAGCTAAAATAGTCAAAAAAAATCAAAAAGCTAAAAAGCCAACCCACTTCCCAAATAGAGGCTGAATTAATAAACAAGTTACAAAATTAAACTCCCATTCATTCATTTAATAAATAAATCGAATTCAAATAAATTTCAAACAAATTGAACTCAAACATTTCATAAATTTATGTAAAGTAAACCTAAGTTAAAAATTACAAATTTTTTTTTACTAGTTTTCATTTAAAATTGAGGACAAATTACATTGACACCCCCTGAAGTTTATATTTATTACAGTTCTCCCCTCACCTTTTAGAAATTACGTCTCCCTCCCTGAAGTTTAAAGTTTAATTACAGATTACTCCCTCAGTTAGTTGACTGTTAAGTCAACTTAACAAATTTTGCTGATGTCAGCAATTTATTTTTTTTAAATACCAATTTTTCCCTCACTAGGTAAATTACATTGACACCCCTCACATTTTAGAAATTACAATCCATTTCTCAAGATTTAAAGTAGTATTACCAATTGTCCCTCCAGTTAGTATTAGTTGAAAAAAAAATTTAATTGAAAAAAAATTTTGTTAGTCAAAATTTTAAATTTCTGTTTAAAAACCAACGTAAACTTATTTTTTGAATTTACTTTTTTTCCTCAAATTTACAAACTGAGACATCCATTTAGTTTTTATGACAGTTTTGAAAATTTTTGTAAATATAAATTGAAAACTGAAAATGAAATGGTTATCAAACAGGTCTCAGATGGTAAAAATGACATAAAGTTAACAAATAATTAAATAAGTTACCAACGTAAGAAATGACTTATCAAAAGATTCTTAAGATATGTATGATTTGATTTTTTAAAAAAAAATTAAAAATTAAAAATTAATTTGGTTAAGAAATAAAAAATAAAAATAATTATCATTTTTATATAATTTTTATGTTTCAAGTGGTTAGAAATAATTTTTTATAAATTAAATATATTTCTTCATATTTATTTTTATTAAATTAGTTTTTTTTTTTTTTAAATGTCAAGAGGGATCCATATTAAATTGAAACCTCAAGCGGTGTCAATGTAATTTACCCTTTAAACTATATGTAAAAGTTAAAGGTAAATATGTTATTTTAATTTAAAAGTTAACACCGTCAAATAGTTACATAAATCTCAGAGGGTGTCAGTATAATTTATCCTAAAATTTATTTATTTTTTCCTTCAATATTTTTTTGTTGTTGGAGTTAACATACCAATATTTTGTATTTATAATATACAAATTTTCCCAATTTCCTTTTCATCATAGAAAAAACGCACCTTTCCAAGGAAAATAAAAGTACTAACACAAAAGGGAAATGAAAATTAAAGGTAAAGCAAAAAGGGGGGAAGTAAAAAAAAAATTAATTAATTAATTAAAAAAAGCCTGTATGCCGTACTACTCTGCCTTATTATTTTTATAAATAATATTAGGGATTCTAAAAATTTGGTGAAACACTTATGTTTGGTTTGGTTTTGTTGAGTAATTTTGGAAATTTTTTTTTAAAAAACTTGTTTGATTTGTAATTTTTTTCAAAATAATTTCTAAAATCACTTTCTCTCTCTTACACATCAATTAATCACTTTTTCTCTCTTCTCTCATTCTTAGGCCTCATTTGGGAACCCTCTATTTTAGCCAAAAAGTCAAAAAATTACTAAATTAGCCAAAAAGCCAACAACTCATACCAAAAAGTCAAAGATTCTCTTTTCTCTCTACTTTTTGCACACTTTTCGTAAAAAGCCAAAAAGTCATCCCAAACATACTAGTTTTTTTTAGCTCATATTTTAGTCAAATAGCCAAAAAGTTACTAAATTAGCATGTTCCCAAATGAGGCCTTAATCACTTTTTCTTTCACACACATCTACTCAATTACAACAAAATACAAATCATTCTAAACTCCCAAAGTCCAAAATTACTTTCAAAATACACAACCAAACAAATCAAAAAAATTTCTAAACTCTCTCCCCAAAATAATTTTTAAAAGCTACTCTCTCAAAATCAAACCAAATATACCCGAATTCATATTTGTGATATTTAATAAAAAATTTGATAAAATTTATCTTTTCGTTTGACATGTCAAAAAATTTGACTTTTTAATTATTTTAGTCAAAAAAAAATATAAAATAAATAAATAAATTATTTTATTTTATTTTTTACAAAAATTTAAAAAGTTAAAAAATCTACCATAAACAAAAAATTTTAACCTCAAATAAAAATAATGAAAAAAAAAAACTAAAAAGCCAAGTTTAGCATTTTTCTATTCGCATTTCCGAACTGCTGAAGCCAATCCAAAAACACGCAGTACTTTTGTTTCCAATCTCGTCTTACATACATTTGCCCCTTCACTCTATTCACATGCATCAAGCTCCTCAAATTTATGATATTTAATAAAAAATTTGATAAAATTTATGTTTTCGTTTGACATGTCAAAAAAATTGACTTTTTAATTATTTTAGTCAAAAAATAAAATAAAATAAATTAAAAAATTATTTTATTTTATTTTTTACAAAAATTTAAAAAGTTAAAAAATCTACCATAAACAAAAAAATTTAAACTCAAATAAAAATAATGAAAAAAAAAAACTAAAAAGCCAAGTTTAGCATTTTTCTATTCGCATTTCCGAACTGCTGAAGCCAATCCAAAAACACGCAGTACTTTTGTTTCCAATCTCGTCTTACATACATTTGCCCCTTCACTCTATTCACATGCATCAAGCTCCTCAAATCTCTTGAATACCCATTCTAGCCCTAGATTTCTCTCATCTCTTCCTCTGAGTTCTGATTGAGTTAGCCATGAGAACATCCTTCCCTTTCCTCACTTTCTCAATCTTCTTCTTCTTCACTTTTGGTCTCCATTTCCAAGCTCATGCTGCTCCTTCAGGTTACAATCTCTCTCTCTCTCTCTCTCTCTCTCTCTCTCTATGTACTATGCATTCTGTGTTTTATTTGATTGGTGTAGATTTGTTTATTCACATACATTGATAGTGATAAATCAGGACCTTTGATAAAACACTTGTCTTCTCTTCTCAAATGGACAAGGTCTTCCTCCAAACTCCCTCAGTCAGGCAAGTCCAAAATCATAATTTATGGTTTCTATTGTGTTTATACACAAATCTATGCATTGGTTTTATGGGTTTTTGTTTTTAACCCAGATGGAAATGTTCTTCAATTTGAGAATGGGTACCTTGTTGAAACTGTTGTGGAGGGAAATGAACTTGGAGTTATGCCTTACAAAATCCGTGTCTCCGAGGACGGTGAACTTTTCGCTGTCGATTCGGTTAATAGCAATATTGTCCGGATTACTCCGCCATTGTCCCAATGTAAGCTTGTTCTTCCTATGTTTTCTCTTGCTATATCTGCGAATTGATTAATTGGGAAATGTCCTACTCTTGTTTGTCACTCTATATTTAAGCATTTCTTAGAGTATCTCCAACCCTTCACCAAATTTTTCATCTAATTTGATTCCAAATTTGTGTAAAAAGTTTGATTCGATACGAACTACTCCAATCGTTTCTTCAATTTTTTTTAAAAAATTCCCCTCTTATCCCAGATTTCCCTTTTTGTCAAATTTGGTGGGAAAAGAAAAAATTCAATCTCCACTGATTTGTCTTTTTCAATTTTCTTCAAATTAAAATTTGATGAAAGATTTGATGGGTTCTCAATTTGATGAAAGAATTGGAGATGATTTTTTTAGTACTTTTAACATTTGATGAAAGAAAAGATGAAGGATTAGAGATGCTCTACCCCAAAAAAAAAAAAAAGAAAGAGAGAAAGAAGTTGTCTCTGAGCATCAAGCACCTAATTTGATTGCATTTGAAACTGAAGGAACGAACTAAGAAATAACTTTCATTCTCTTGTTGTGCGGTGTTGCATTGTTTTCGAAACATGAATACTCACTTTTGATAAACCCATTCTTAGGACAGTTGATTGCAGATCATTGTTTCCTTGGGTCTTGAATGATGAAAATGTTAAACTTCAAAATTTACTCCCTTTTTATATATATATTTTCATTTGTTCCTTAGCAACCAGACTGAGTGCTTGTCTTGTATGAGAAATGCTTGTGGGATGGTTGGAAATCATTTGCCTTGCGGATTCTTTTTTTTTTTTTTTGAGTTTCATTTAAAATTTAGGATTTTTATTTTTTATATTGTTTTTTATTTGTTTCGTTCTTTCAATATTTTGTTGCAGATAGCAGGGCAAGATTGGTTGCTGGGTCATTCCAAGGTTACACTGGGCATGTAGATGGAAAGCCTAGTGATGCTCGATTTAATCAACCAAAGGGTGTGACCATGGATGATAAAGGAAATGTTTATGTTGCTGATACATCAAATCTTGCCATCAGGAAAATAGGAGAAGGAGGTGCGTGTGGTCTGTGATAGTTCTCCTGGAAGATAATAGTTTGGAGATCATTTTTTTTTCTCTTTTGTGATTTAATGATGCAACCATTAGTCGGTAAAAACCAGGATGATATCCCAAATGATGTGTGCTATTCTGCATATTGTTGAAGTTGAAGTACTATGAAATTACACAAAATTGTCAACAATTAAAGTGAAACAATGCATCTCAATTACTGGAGGTTTTGAAATTAACACAACTCTATAAATTGTTTGCAGGTGTGACAACAATTGCTGGAGGAAAATCAAATGTAGCAGGGTACAGGGATGGGCCGAGTGAGGGTGCAATGTTCTCAACTGACTTTGATGTGATATATGTTCGCCCTACCTGCTCGTTACTAGTTGTTGATAGAGGAAATGCAGCTCTTCGTCAAATCTCTCTTAACCAAGAGGATTGTGATTATCAATACAATTCAATTTCTTCCACAGGTTCAGAATTCCATACAATTTGATTGATACATTCTTCTATGCGTTCTTGAAACATCAGCATTAGATTCTGCTGCTATTATGCATAATAAACAATATAATTTCATTGACTTGTATACAGTTATTACTGTAATCCACTATGCTTTTATTTGAGCAAAGACACACAAGTGCACCAGAAGAAGTGCATATAGATGGGAGATTAGCATGCAGTTTTGTGAACAACAATGAGAAATTTCTAAACCCTGATGCGTCAATTCAAGACTTAAGATTGAATTTCAGATGGCATTACCCACATAAAATTGATGTACTTAAGTTTTCTTTTTGGCAGAGGTCATTATGGTTATTGGTGCTGTCTTGATAGGATATGCTTCATGCATGCTTCAGCAGGGATTTGGATCCTCTCTTCTCTCGAAAGTGGTAATACCCGTATTTTGCAGTTTCACTTCTGATTTGTTAATGGAAGATGGAAGTGGGAATTTAGATATTACAGCGACCATTCGGACCAAATGGTTATAAGATTCCAAAATTTCTTCATTTTCCTCCATCCTGCAACAATATGCAACATTATGCAAAGTAATATTTGGGATTTGTTTCCTCTATGGTTGTAGTGTTCTGAAAGTGTTTTGGTTTAGTGATGCAGGGTCAAATAATCTTAACATTTTGATGCCCTAAGTGAAGATGTTCATTTTAGAATTCTTACAAATGTTTTTTCTTGTTCTTGTTTTCTTGTCTTTTTGGCTGAATCTGTGTCATTTACAGGTGCATAAACATCCATTACAAAGTGAATCTCAAGACCAACAGACCAAGGACAAGCCAACTATTGTCGAAACCATTAAAGAGGAACAAGAAGCAGGGTGGCCTTCTTTTGGAATGCTCATTATAAATCTATCCAAGCTTGCAACCGAATCATTGTCTAACACCTTCCTTTCCTTCATACCCTTTCGATTCCACCGCAGGGGCTCCACGAACAGTCTCACTCCATTGAAAGTTTCTCTCATAATGCCCGAAGATGAAGTTGAGCCCCCGGTTGTTCAAAAGCAGAGAACTCCCACTCCACTTTCTGAAACCCAGCGCGCCCATACTCCAAATGCTGGTGATAAATATTCAGAAATGAAACCTCCAAAGATGAGATCAGCCAGTTTCAAAGATCCATCTTTGTCAAGCAAGCACAGATCTTCAAAACGACAAGAATATGATGGATTCTATGGATCGGGTGAGGTCCCTCCTTATGGGCAGTATAGGTCTAAGAGCCAGAAAGATAGAACAAAGCATCGCCAACGGGACAAAAGTGGAGAGGTAGTTTCTGAAGCAGTTGGGATGGAACAGAGACCTGTTGAGATGAAGCCAGCGAATTATGATGATCCGAAGACTGACCATTACAGTATGAGGAAGACTGACCATTACAGTATGAGGAGCAAATATGGGAATTCATTCCGGTTTTGATTAGGCTGCAAGTTTTAGCATTTCTTTCAGCTTCTCTTTGACAATGTAGTTTCTTGCTTCTGTTATTTATTTATTTATTCCTGGAATTGTAGTTTGTAAATTGAACTGACCTTGGAAGCAAGGACTGACTTTGTACACTGATCTGAAAAAGGAAGACTTAAATTCCTGTTTGGCTAAACTTATTTTTAGTTCTGTTTTTTGGGCCTAGAATTTGAAATCGGGTGCTTTGAAATGTGTTTGGTAAATTTTTTTGGAGTTTTACCAAACAGGCCCTCTTAAGTTTGTTTGGGAAAGTATTTTGAGATGACGTCATGTGGTTAAGGTGACGACGATATGTTAGCCAAGGTGCCATGTGGGTAGATCTGTTTGTTGAGATATTTAGGGCACTGCCAAGGCATTCTGGGATACCAGAATCCGAGTTATTTGGATAGAGGACTAGAGTTCTAAATGACATCAAACTACTTATTTGGATAGAGATGAGACTCTTGATGAAGTTTATCTTAATTTGAATAGTGTGAGTTGATAGATATTATCATTGTAAAAGATAGAGATCCATAAAGTAAGACTTCTAAGGGAAGTTGGACAATGACCATTATAAAAGTGATGCACCCCTGTGGGTGTATGCTTTTATGCTTTTACGCTTTTACTTGTGAGTTTAAGCACTGTAATGATATTTGTGAGAGATAAGATTTATTGACTAGATCATCGGAGTGCCCCTGGGTGGACGGACCACCGCGGTATGCTTATCTTCTTGTTGGCAGGTGTTCGGTTTAATCTATTCTGTCACGTGCTCTCTAGTTAAGTTTCCTGTTTGGATGTGCAGTCGAAAATCAACACCCACAATTTGATGACGTCTATAGGAACTTAGTAATGATAGATGGCCAACAACGGATATGAAGAGAGGATTGGGGATGGCATCCACAATAAGGAGGAAGAGCATGTGGGTTCTAACACTGAAAGAGAGGACCATAACGGAAAAGTGCAAGAAGTGAATCCTGAGGCGAATAATGTCGCCAAAGGCCGAGAAGGAAACAAAAAGGGTAGCCGAGATGAGTACTACTATGAAAGCGACCTTCAAATATAGAGAGACAGATACTAGAGAAAAGATGAGGAAACTGAAAGACATGGCGAGTAAGTTGACAGTTCTACAGATAGTAGTCAATCTCATGATGCAGAACAACGTGATGCAGCCAACATCCTCATTACAGGACGCGCCAGCACCAATAGCCAAAACTGGTGCCCAGGAGACAAGATTTCGGCCTAAATGATTAGGTCCGAGAAGAGAAGAGCTCAGCCTAAGTGAGTAAATCTCAGATATAGAAGATAAGATCTCGGCCTAGATGATTAGGTCCGAAAAGACAAGAGCTCAGCCTGAGTAAGCAGATCCTAGATTCCAGAAGACAAAATCTCGGCCTAGATGATTAGGTCAAAGAAGACAAGAGTTCAGCCTGAGTGAGCAGATCCTAGATTCCAGAAGACAAGATCTCGGCCTAGATGATTAGGTCCAAAAAGACAAGAGCTTAGCCTAAGTAAGATCCCAGATCTAGAAAACAAGATCCCGACCTAGATGATTAAGTTCGAAAAGACAAGAGTTCAGCCTAAGTGAGCAGATCTCAAATCTGGAAGACAAGATCTCGGCCTAGATGATTAGGTCCGAGAAGATAAACGCTCAGCCTAAGTAAGCAGATCCCAAATCCAGAAGACAAGATCTCAACCTAGATGATTAGGCTCGAGAAGACAAGAGCTCAGCCTAAGTGAGAAGATCCCAGATCTCATAAGAGAAGATCTTAGGCTAGATGAGTAGGTCCTAGAAGAGAAGAGCTCAATCTAAGTAAGCAGATCCCAGATCCCATAAGACAAAAATGAAGCACACAAGATCAGACTAAAGTCGGCCAGATTCTGCTTGTCAGCAGAAGGCCATCTATATAGAAGGACTTTTGCTAGACCTCTACTGCGATGTGTACATCCTTCCCAGGTTGAAGGCTTTTTATACGAAATTCTCGAAGAAGTATATGGAAGCCATGCAGGGGCAAATCCCTCGCCCACAGAGCTATTACAGGGATTCTGGTGGCCTTACATGCAAAAGGATGTCGAAGCTTACGTAAAGAAGCGTGAAAATGTTGTTGGAATCCATGATTATGCGATAAGATCGAAATGTCTTATGACGATGTTCCTCTGGCGAACATGATGAATAACTTAGACTTGCCATGATGGTAGAGTTGAACTAATTTTGCGATGTTTCAACATGAAGCATGACGAATAACTTAGACTTGCCATGATGGTAGAGTTAAACTAAGTTTGTGATGTTTCAGTATGAAGCATGACGAATAACTTAGACTTTCCATGTTGATAAAGTTGAACTAAGTTTATGATGTTTCGAGATGAAGCATGGCGAATAACTTAGACTTGTCATGATGGTAGAGTTGAACTAAGTCTACGATGTTTTAGTATGAAACAAGGCGAAACTGGCCATGACTTGGTTAGTTTGAAAAGAAAGCCGAGGAGTATGGTACTCTCGGTGCACTAAGGTTAAGCCTTAAATACTTCGTTTGGGTGAGCCAAACATGATGACCTCGGCCTAGAATGTCTAAGAGAGACTTAGGCGATAACCATGTGATGCGTCCTTAATGTGAACATAAGTGGTATTCAGGCTCACATTAGGGGGCAGGAAGTGAGAATGAGCATAACACTTGTGAATTTTTCTGAAAATTGAAGTTATCTGAGATCATTGACAAGTGATACTATCCGAGATGACAGTATTGTACTGTACCCGAACTGTAATTATCCGAGATACCCAACTAGGTTGTTAGACTTAGAAGGGTGAAGTCTTGCCAGAAAACAACAAGTACAAGTGAAGAAACAACACTTGTAAAAAGTTGATGAAAAAATGTTATAAGTGCAATTCGGCTGAGATAACTAACAAGAGTTGTCACCCGAGATTTGGATGTATCAGAGGTCCTGGGATTCGAGGTGAGGAAACAAGTTGTCAGACTTGGGAAGTTAAGAAAAGTTCTAAGTATGAAAAAAATATAGAAGGCACAGAGAAGATATAGAAAGCATACATGAAAGTAATATTCAACTCTTAGAAGAAAAGAGAAGACTTGTATTGAAAAAGAGACAACTTGTTCAAGTACATAAACAGACACATTGGCCCGACAAAACAAACACTGTTCAAAATAGAGAAGAAAATACAACCACAAAGAAAAAAGTACAGTGGAAAGAAAAATTCTTAAGCACTAGGATCTTGTGCATTGATCTCAAATTGTTCAACCTCAGCTGTTGGCATTGTTTTGGTCTTAACAGACGGCTTGACAGATTTCTCGGCTGCGATTTCACGTCGATTTCTAAAAGAGTCTAGTCCAGGCTCTTTACAATGGCCGTGATCTCAGTTTTAGAAATGTCGGCCTTTTTTGGTGAGGTGCTCTTGGAGACCTCATCCCCATCCTCCTCAGTCAAGTTCAGGACTTGATCATTTAGAGTAGGAGACTTGGCCCTAGTAGCAGCTTCAGATTCTTTCTCTACAATTTCGGCCTCATCCTCTTTTTTGTCTTCGGCCTGCTCGTCGTCAGCTTTTTCTACTTCCCCAGCCTCATCCTTAGATTGATTGGGAGAGGGAGGGAAAGCGACATTGAGTTAACCAATGTCACGGAGGGGTGAGTCCTCGGGGACAAACAGCTTTTTGAGGGTTGTCATCCTGCTGAGATAGTAGCCTTTGCGTTTTGCACGTATCTTGTATATCGATCTGCTCCTCAGAGTAGGCCTTGGTGTCTGTTCCTTGCTGTAACTTGGTCATCTTGCTTCATGTCATTCTCTTCCATGATATTAAGTTGTTGGAGGCATGAGCATGTTGGATTGACTATAAGGAGATGGAGTGGATTGCACAGTTATGACATCAGGAATGTTAGCAAGAAGGTTTTCTATGACAAGAGTTCGACGAGATATGTCGTCATTGGTTACGACGATGGTTACTTGCAGACAGGGCGATTGGAGGATTATCTAGGTCTAAGGCTGGGAGGATAGGACCTCGGTGTTTCCTATTCCTAGTTCTAGCTGCAATATTGTTGTTATGTCGGCGTTTGCACTGCCATTGAAATGTTGGGTTGATGTGTGGAGCAGCTGATGAAGTGCATGGCTGCTAGTTTGGTTCAGCTGGTAGAGTTTAAACCTTGGGCATGAATGGAGTATTCATAGTAATGAATGCTTCAAGAATAGCGATGATGGTTTGCAGAGGCCAAGAGAGAGAGAGAGTCTGAGGACACAGAGAAAGACAAAATAGGAAAGTGAAAAGGTTTTGTTGGAATGGAAAGAGGTAACAGATTATAATGATTCAACTTTCTTGGGAGACGTGTAATGGCTGATGTTAGGTGACGTCTAAGGAAACGACGTGTATCAATCATGGGACGTATTGGGAACCAATGAAGAGGTGACATGTCACGTTGATAGTTGAGACGACAGATTTCAAATCTTGATGTTCTTGAACTAGTAAGTTACAATCTCGGCTAGTAGTGCGATCTCAGTTGAGATGATTAATCTCGGTAGAGATGTTGATCTTGGTTGCGATAGTGATTTCAGTTGAGATGTTGATCTTGGTTGAGATGTTGAATTTGGATGGGACAGAACTTGTTTGTTCTTGGTTCCTGATGAGTTGATACTGGGATCTTGATGTTCTTGAACTAGCAAGTTATGATCTCTGTCGAGATATTGGACCTGGAGGAGATAGAGCATGATGGTTCTTGGTTCTTGATTCTTGACAAGTGGACATTTGAGTCCTTATTTCGATACGCTGGCGAGTCATGATCTTGGTCGGAAGAGTATCTCTAGCATGTTGGAAGATGAAACGATGTAGGTTCCATCACCTCAGGTTGCTGAGGTAATAGAACCTATGGGACAGTTGTGGGGAAGTATTTTAAGATGACGCCACGTAGCTAAGGTGACGCTGAGGTGTCAGCCGAGGTGCCACGTGGGTAGATCATGTTTGTCGAGATGTTTAGGGCACTATCGAGGTATTCTGCGGGGATATCGGAATCCAAGATATTTAGATAGAGGGCTAGAGTCCTATATGACATCAAACTATCTATTTGGATAGAAATGAGACTCTTGATGAAATCCATCTTAATCTAAATAGTGTGAGTTATGATAGATATTATCCTTGTAAATGATATAGTCCCATGAAGTAAGACTTCTAGGGGAAGT